AGTGAGGTATTCAAGAGGGGATTACTTTTTGGCTATTGTTCAAAGGTCATGTGAAGGTCATGTTAGGGTGATGGTTTCATGGTTTTTTGGGACTTAATTGTACTTTGTGTTATTTATAAATTTTCAGGAAACATAAAAGTGACTTTTTAAAAAAAAAATGATGCTAAAATAAAGCAAGTAAAACAATGGGGGATACGCTGCCTAGTGAGGTATTCAAGAGGGGATTACTTTTTGACTATTGTTCTACCGTTTAACATTGACGAATCAAACGCCGCGAGAAACGTGCACCTACACAGGGTGTGTGCTTGTTATGTTTAATAGACAATAATCTCAAGGCTAAGTTGTTAATGCACAAATTAAGAAAATAATCGATTTGTTGTTACCGTGAAAGCTTTTGGAAATTTCCTGAAAGTGTAGAGAACATGGCAAAGAAAGATTACGGGAAAGGGGCAAGAAAAGTATGTATTGAACGCTAACTAGATTGCAGTGTTCTCCCAAGATTTCAATTCAAAGTGGCTACACTTAATCCATTGATTAGGCATACACTCGACAGCAGCGGCAATTTAGGTTTGTCAGTTTTGTTCAAGATATAAATTTTCTATTTTACGCATTATGGCTACAGAACGTGACAGAAAGTCCTTCCATGTGATCTAATATTTGTAAACAATCTATTTGCACACGACTCCCAGTGTCTTCTCCTCGAGCAGACAGTAATGTTTCACATTCATTTTTGCACTGTTTTAATCTTTCTCAAATGAAACCAAGCAGTTGATTTCTATTTTATTCAATGTTTATCTTCGTTTGATATATTTAAACAAAATATGCAGTCATTAAATAATTAGTAAATATGCAAGTTTTTTTTTTTTTCGAACGAGGACAAGGAAAACATAATGACAGTAGTCTTAGGACGGGTCGGTCGTGATCTTCGGTTTGTATCAAGAACACAACTCACAAATGAGTTATTTTTTCGAACGATAATTTGATAGGAACTATAATACAAATTTACTTCCTATCATTGGCGCCAAGTCTACCCTCAAAGACAGATACAAGTAGTGATGCAAGCTATCAACTGGGCATATGCGACTGTTCCTGAAACATTTAATGATAACTGTCTTCCGAAAGTGATCTGTCTTGGAAGATTTCAAACGAAGAAAAGCTTTTGTGTTACTATCAAAAGTGACATCCTCGATGCTTAAATGAATTTCTGATTAAAGGTAGAATTAATGGTGAATTCACCACAACGAAGGAATCCGAAAAATGCAAAAAGAATCAATGATTGCAAAAGGATGTCTGTAAAATGGGTAAACACTCCAGCTTTCAAAGTGGAAAACATACGGAATATAACCTCTGATGTATATGGGAGCCGTAACCTAGATCCCTGGCTTTGACTTCGTTTAATAGCTCTTAACAATAAATTAACACGTACCATTGGTTCTCCTGCATGACACTGCCAGGGGTTGGAAACGCCAGCCTCTATATGTCTAAAACGTACCCCAGCAAGGTAAAGTCTAATGGTTGTTTCTCTGAGATGTAAATGTTTATGACAGTGAGTTATGAAAAGCAAAACTAAGTCCTCAGAAATTGCAGGTAAGTTCAAATTCAAACACTGAACATTGTGCATATTAGCAAAGCGAAGAAAAATATCTAAACCAGAGTCATAAGACTGCCTTGTTTTTGATGATATAGTAGAAGTCCACAGGTGATTTGTATCTTGAGCTAAATCTGAGTTATTTCACAGTATGGTGGCAAGGCGATTTGTTCTCTTGTGCATCTGGTGCTAGTTCTGTGAATTTCTGTAATTGAAAGTGGGATAAGGCATCGGCAATTACATTTTGTTTCCCTGGGAGGAATTGAGCCAGTATAATGAAGTTATGCTGCATGGCAGTCAGTGTTAACCATCGCATAAGAGTGTTAATTGCATGCAGTGCGAAGCTGCCCTGCCTTTCCTAATTATGTTTAGTGTTGCCTGATTGTCACAGTTGAAACAAATTCTCTCCTTTGACCAATGCTCTCCCCATAGCATTGCGGCTATCACAATTGGATACAACTAAAGCAGAACCATAGATAGTTCATCACGTTGTTCAAAAGTTAATTCCTCAGGCCATTTGTCATAAAACAAACTACCTTGAAAGAAGCCTCCGAAACCTTTGGTAGATTATGCATCTGTATGGATGTGCAAGTCAGATGCACTGATCACTCCCAAGTTCATAAACAGATGTATCCCATTCCATGAAACCAAAAATAACTTTCACATTGATAATTCTAAACAGCAAGCCTGGTTCAAGGAGACATGGTGAGTCAATTTGGACACTGATGAAGCCAGTCTAAGTAAGTGGGCAAGGAAGGACCTGCCTGGTAACACAACTCTAGCAGCAAAATTTAGATGACCAAGCGAAGACAATAACTGTCGTTTAGTGATTGATTTCTTTGAAGTAAACTCTGATATCTTACCCTTTATTCTGCTTATTTTATTTGTGGGCAAGAAAGCTAACAAGTCCTTGAAGTTAATCATAACTCCCAAATATTCAAGCTCCTGGGATGGTCCCAGAGTTTTGTGGGCTGCCAATGGAATGTTAAGAATATTAAATATCATCGTCATTACTGCCATTGACCTCATTTCTGTTTCTTCCTCTTGATCAAGAAAGTCATCAAGTAAGTGGAGAATGAACTTCACTCCAAATTTATGAATTGCTATCCAACAGATAGCCTGAGAGAGTAAGTCAAAAATTGTTGGACTAGACCTGGAACCGAAGACCAGCCTGATGAAAAAATAATACTTGTCATTCCATTTAACGCCATGCAGATGCCAAATGGATGGGTGAAGTGGTATTTGCTTGAATGCATCTGTTATGTCAAACTTGCATATATGAGTATTGCCATTCAACCGCTTAATCTCTGCAAAAGCATCATCAATCTTTATGTAAGATATTGAATAAGTCTCTTTTTCAATGAGTTTGTACTAGATAAGAGGTCAGAAAAAATGGTCAACCGTCTTTTCCAGGGCAAAGTGCATCTAGTGCATCCTTCATGATGATTATGTCTCCAATTATTGAGGTGAGGGTAGTGTTTCTATAATGGCTCAGCTACATACTGAGATTGTGGGTAACTGGATACAGATAATTTTTATCTCTAAGACAAGATGGTAGGGATAAATCTTTTAAAGTAAGCAGCATATTTGATGAAAAAGTCCAACTGGTGTCCATTTTCTCTTTTTTTTCATGTCCATTTTCACTGTTGACCCCAATAAAGTTACTGCCATTTTTGCTGGGAAAGAATTGACCAGCTTTTTTATTAGTCTAAGAAAATTGTTCAGCTTGGAATGCGTCTGAATCCCTCATTAGTATGCAAGAATGTAGGAATGTACCAAGAAAATTGTTTTTTTTTGAGTAAATTGTAGTGTATTTTACTTATGAAAGGTCAAAAGTGCATTGAGATTTTATGAAAATGTGTGGATGTTAACAGAATGATTTTGTGTGGTCACAGTTGCGCAATAAATGATGGACTATTTTGTGCGTAGCTATAAAATGTGTCACCGAAGTACACACCTGTGTGCATGATTCCAATAGTTTGTGCTGTGAAGAAACTCCATTAGAAAATAAGTATTGTGCAATTTGTAGTGAGAATGTATTCAAATAGATTTATGTTTATGAATCTTGTTTCTTTTCAAAGTGTATTTATATAATAAGAATTGTTTATAAACATTTTTTTTTTATACTTTTTCGATTGATTGAAACTACAAATGAGTTATTTTGTTATACCGTCACTCGAATCAAGTGTTACGAATTTCTGATAGTTTAGACATTAAACTGTTGTACCAAAGGGAGCCCAGGAACTCAGGAACTATGATGTACTGTACGCACTCCCTATGAGCGGGGTAGGGGGGGTTGTCGGGTGGGGGTGGGAGTTTGACTGGTATCGGCTGGTATCTAGTGTAAGAAAGAGACAAGGTATGAAGGCTCCAGCGAGCTCATATTTTTTAAACTGGAAAAAACAGACGAACAGAACGAAAAATAAAATCTATAAAAAATACCAGATTGAAGAATATTAGTTGCTCTTTCAAATTTCGCCAAAGCCTTACTATTATTTTACCTATATCTGCAGAATTAATTAAGAAAACTACACAAATTGACCCCATTTACGAATACTTAACGGTTTGCCCGAATGCACGGCACAGTTTGGAGGCAAGACTGGTTACGAACCAGTTGAGCAAGACTAACCTCGATGTCGTTCGTAACCAGTCTTTATTTCAATTAAACAGTGATTTGGCTGTGACCATACATTTAGTCATTTTCGACTGTTTTTCTCGAATTGGTTGATTAGTATGTAACTTATGGTAAGTACAATTAAATGTCCAGAGTCGAACAGTAGTCCCCGCAGTAGTCATTTCTAACATGATTATTTAATTTAGTTTAATTCCTTCAGTTAAAAATTGAGTTTCCAAAATAAATAAATAATAATACGTACCCTCATGTATACTTCAAGTTTTCATTAAAACAAAGTCAAAGTCTTTGAAATTGCTTTTCTGCCTGTTTGCCAATCCATTGCTCCAAATTGGCTGTCATGGTGCAACTCAAATCTGCGAGTTGCATCATGGGGTCGGCCGCTACGACGCCTGCACGTGAGGGCGAATACCCCCCCACTTATTTACTGGCAATATCGTCTGTTCACTGTGTGTTCATTTCCCATACCTTGTCCCTCATACAGCCCTGATGCGTTAAATACACCTTTAAATACTCTTATTTTCCCAGCATCGAGATGGCTCTGCCAACTCTTGTCTGATCTTGTCTTAGCACTTCCTAAATCACTAACATAAGAATCTGTTTAAAAGGATTTTACTATTGATAAAGAGTCATTGCTTGAAATGTCTTGTTATTTTGAATTGTTACTTATTGCGAAATATTATTTACAGTATGTAATATTTATCTGTCCATGCAGCATTTATTTACAAGCTAGTAAATATTTAATATTCCAAACTTCTCTGTTTTTTGTTTTTTTTTCAGAATGAAAATAAAACCAGGTTATCTCCACAGTTTGTGGTTGCATTTGGAATATTTATGGCTGTTTCTTTGTCAGCGTCTGTGTCGATAATCAAAATTTGAGTATTATTACTGCAGTATCACAGTGTTGAGTTATATTGCAGTGGTACCGGTATAGCTATTCAGAATCTCTTACAGGTTTACAGTGTTTTCGTATTTAATTTTTGTCTTTAATAGTCATATGTAATAAATTTTTATTTGGTCTTATATGTAGTTGAAATAAATATGTAATAAATAATGGATTTGTGAACCAATATTTCAGAGAATTACCAACGACTATTTGTAAGTTTCAGTGTTACATGAAGTTTTTTACAAAATAAAATCCATTGTATTGAGTTAAATAAAATATTCATCAATATATATGTCTATAACTATTAATGCTAAAATAATTTGTTGCTTGGTGAAATGAGCCATAAACAACTTGGGTACAATCTTAAAGCAGCAAGTTTCGAGCATACTAATTGCCTAATTTGTCCCCGTTTGAACGCAGTGCGTCCATGTGTGCGCGAGTGCGAGTGTGTGTGTGAGTGCGTGTGTGCGTCCGGATCTGTATCCTAGAAATGCCTCGACCAATCACAATCAAACTTCACACATACATCATACATAATATTATACATATGCACGTCAATTTGTTCAACGATCTAATCAAAGATGGCCGAATGGCGGCCATTTTTGTGCTAAAAATCGTCAAAATCAAGCATTTCTTGGCTGTTTACAGATGGTTTTTGTTTGAACTTGGTATATATGTTGGACATTGATGCACATCATTTTGTTTTTCAGATAAGATTCAAAATGGCCAACTGTTGTTTTAATGAATGTGGATTATGTTCAAATTTTAAATATTGATTATACATCATGTCATCGATATGTTAGTTTGACAACCCTATTTAAAATGACAGGCTTTGACTGATTATGTTCGAATTTTTATATATTCATTATACATGTATTCAAAATGGCTGATTTTGTTTTAATTAATGCTGTTCCAGATCAATATCTATCAATACTCATTTGACGATCAAATACAAGGTCAATCATTTTAATGTTAAACGATCATCATAATCATGACATGTTTATATTCCAGCTATATTACTATAAACAAAACTATATATCTTAAATTCGTTAACTAACGGGGACTGTGCCATGCATGGCTTGTTTTCCATGATATGCATAGTCATCACATTTCAATGAAATTATTACATACAATGTAGGTGCTGTGGAATAATTAACAAATGTTTAATAATTTAAACCATGTATATTGATTTCTGATATCTCAAAAATTCAGATTCAAACTTGAAATTGAACTTGTGGTACAGGTGCTTTGTGAGTATTATAAGCAATGTTTCAGTGCTGTCCATACATTCTTCTGTCTTTTCGTTCATCCACGTCAGCTATTTCCCAGGCATGCTTCTTATTAACCCTGCTCATATTTTTCTGTTAATTGTGAATAAAAATTTATTTTTTTATCATCACATTCATTTTAATTACATTCATATTTAGGTCATGTTGAATGTAATAATATTGTCAAAAAACTAAAAAAACTTATAAGTGTCATAGTAGTCAAAGTGCAAATTTCTTTACTTTCTCAACTTGCAACATAAACCCATGGATTCTGCCCAGCCTGATTTGAGTGCAGATTGAGGTCATTAATATTCATGAGCTAATTAATATTCATTTTCCATTCTACTAGCTATGATTTAACTACTTTTTGCCCTGGTCGGTAATTCTTAGTGCCGGTAACTAGCGACTCAAGAACCTCTATTCTATCACTTTCCACTCCTTTCACTTGGCACCTCTATTCTATTACTTTCCACTCCTTTCACTTGGCACCTCTATTCTATTACTTTCCACTCCTTTTCACACTTAGAACCTCTATTCTATCACTTTCCAC